ACTCGACGCCGCAAGACGAGGAGATTGATTCGCGCATGAATGTCACAACGGCCACCGTGGCCAACGTCAAGGTATGACAGGGTCATCACGCTCAGCGGAGGACGTTGAAGCTCGATTTGCCCATCGATTGACGTTTTGATGTATTTTTGTTTTTGTTTTGTTTTTGTTTTGTTTTTGGCAGCGTGCCTACAAGCCCCAACGCCGCTACCGTCGCCCGGCTGGCGCTCGTGCAGCGAGCCACATCTCGCAGTCTCGCGACCCCGACGAAGAGTCCGACCGCGTGCACACGACGCTGCTCGAGTACGGCCAGCGCTACAAGCTCAGCCGTGCGGCCCAGGAGAAGGCGAGCAAGAAGGGCATTGACGACAAGATTCCTGCAGGACTCGCTGGCCAGCAGAAGGAAAAGGACGACGGCGTGGATGACGCCGAGGAAGAAGAGCGCCGTGTCCGCGCGCTGATGGCGGCCATGTCTGCCACCGAAGGTCGCGAGGGCGCTGTGTCTTCGTCGGCCCTCGGCGGCATGATTGGCATGCAGTCGGATGAGATTCGACAGCTTGTCAACGAGTACAACGAGAAGCAAGCTGGCCTGGGCGCTGGCGGCGATGCCCGCGGTGGCGGTGCTCAAAACCACAAGCGTCTGATTGCCTCGCTTGAGAAGCAGATTGCTTTGATGGACAAGCGTCACGCTGAGGTATGTTGTGATTGTGTGTGTGTGTGGGTTGGGCTGCGGGGGCGGGGTGAACCTCGAAGATTGACTGTCTCTAACAATTCCCTCCCCCTGTTGTTTGTTTGTTTGTGTGATGCGCGCAGATTAAGGAATTGTACGACCGCCTCTCGGGCAAGTACAATGCAACCCAGGCAGAGCTGGATGCCGTCCTTGCTCACAATGCCAAGATTGACGCCGAGCTGGCCAAGTTCGAGGCCATGCAGACCCCTGAAAACTCTGCCGTGCTTGCCCGCCTCAGCTCGCTGGTGACCTTGAACGAGAGCTTGAAAAAGCAAGAGACCGACTTCCGCGCATCCTGCAAAGAGGAGGTTGCGCGATTGCAGGAGGCCATCGAGAAGCTCAAGGCTGGCGAAGCTGGAGGCGACGACGAAGAGAAGGAGCGTCTGCGTCTGATCAACGAGCAGTTTGAGGCAGACAAGGATCGGTTGCAAAAGATTCGCGTGTTGCTCGGTGCGTGACGCTCGTTGGCGATGAGAGGGGATTTTGTGATTCTTTTTTTCTTTTTTTGAACTCACCACATCCTCGTCGCACTCGCTATCTCTCCTCTCTTTCTCTCTCTCCTCTTCACTCTTACTTGTCCACAGGCAAAAAGAACCGCGACATTGCGGCCATCACACGCCTGATTGACGAAATCCCGTCGCGCAGCGAGCTCACGCAGTACCAAAAGCGATTTGTCGAGCTGTACAACCAGGTCGCGGCCAAGCTCACCGAAACCAAGCAGTACTACACGCTTTACAACACGCTCGACGACACCAAGCTCTATATGTCCAAAGAGCTGTCGCTGCTCAACTCCATCCACGACTCCTTCGAGCGTGCGATGGCCACTGCGCAGAACAAGGAGCAGTTCCTGACCCAGTTCGAGAACATTGTGACTGGTGTCAAGGCCAACCTGGAGAAGGTATGCCGTTTATTGTTTGTGTGGGCATGCAAAGCTAGTTGTGCGCGAGCTTTTGCCTTCAACCTTCGTTGCACTGCTTTTTTGCTCACTGCCAACCACACCCACACGCGCCAGGTGGACAAACGCCGAGACAACGAAAAGGCCAAACGCGACAAGCTCAACGACGAGTATCTCGAGCTTGTGGACAAGCAGCGCTTGTACTACAAGACCGTCAAGGAGTTCCAAGAGGAGTGCCGCAAGAACGAAAACCTTCTCGCTCAATTCGAAGCTGCATAAACGCCCCTGTCTGTGTTTTTGTCCCGTAGGAGGCAGTCTTTGTGTGTCAATTTTTGTTCGAAAAAAAAAAAACATGGTTGAAGTGAAAGGATTTCTTGTTCAAAACTATTTCGACCCAATCACCATGCTAAAATTGCAACAACCCAGAAACTAGCAGCATGCAAATTACTTCGACTCGTTTACGAAGCAGGAGCCTCGTTGACAGAGTTCCAATTGATGGGCTGCTGGCCGGAAGCCTCGAGCGCATCGTTGCACTTGGAAAAGTGCTTGCACCCCGTGAACAGCTTGACCGAAAGTGGCGATGGGTGAGCACCCTCGAGGACGGTGTGCTTGGACTGCAGCAAGACAGAATCGATTGCGGGTTGAGCCAATCCAACATGATATTGGACAAAAACAACCAAAACAAAAAAAAAAAAAAACAAAAAAAAAAAGCCTACCTTGTCAATCAGCTTGCCGAGCTTCTTGGCATAGTTGCCCCAGAGGATAAAGACCACGTTGGTGCGACGGCGCGAGACGGTCGAGAGAACCTCCTTGGTAAACTCTTCCCAGCCCTGGCCGGCGTGGGAGTTGGACGCGCCTGCTCGGACAGTCAGGACGGCGTTGAGCAGGAGCACGCCTTGCTTGCTCCAGCTCTCCAGATTGCCATGCTTTGGCGGCTTGAATCCGGGAATGTCGGAAGCGAGCTCGGTGTACATGTTTCGAAGCGAGGGCGGGATGGCTGCCTTCATCGACACGCTAAAGCAGAGGCCTGCGCAAAAACAAAAAAAAAAAAAAATGAAGTTAGTGCGCTGGAAAGGAGGTTTTGCTAAACGTCAAACGCAATGTAAAGCAATGACGGCCCCTACCGTGAGCTTGGTTTTCGTTAATGTACGGGTCCTGGCCCACAATCACCACTTTGACCTGTTGTGGATGACAAGACAAAAGTCAAGGTGTGAGGAAAAGTCAATCCTTGAGCGTTGAGCCTCAATGCCTGCTCGTTGCAACCTACATCCGGAAGGGAGCAGTAGCGCGACCAGCTGTAGACGTCCGCTTCCACTGGGTAGATGGTTTGCGTCTTGTACTCGTTGGCGAGGTAAGTCTTGAGCTGCACATCCACACACACACACACACACACACACATGAGTGCTTTTTTTCTCTTCGCCAAACCATGACACATTTTTGTTGATCGTTCGCAAACCTTTGCAAAGTAGGGCTTGTCAAACTCGGGTCGAAGAGCGTTGAACCAAGTGTTTCCCATCGTTTCCTTCTCGAGCTTAAAGTTATCGCCCAGCTTGTGGACGCCGCGCTTTTCTGCAACAACAACAAGAACAGCAGCAACAACAAATGCAAATAAGAAAGGGTTGCATGGAACAGTGAGACAAGGCCGGCAAGTGATGCATGATGGAGCCCTTTTCGTGCATTGCAACGATTGCAAGTTTGTTTTGGGTTTCGCTGCGCTTTGAACTTTGACAGTCGAGTCGCACGAAACTGGGCGCCCAAGCAGCACACAACAATTGTTGTGCAACAACAGAGACGATTTCGTGATGGAGAAGCGGGGGGGGGGGGCGCCAACAGTGATGCGACGTTGGGGGAAAGTGAGATTCTTTTACCGACGGCGTCTTGATCGTCCGCAGCGCTCGTAGCAGTGCGCTTGCTGGCCGCTGCGTCGCTACCCTCGGCAGGGTCTTCAGCGGGGCGCTTCTTGATGAAGGCCGTGAGCGTCGACTGCTTGGACGTGGATGCCTTGCTCATGATGGAAGTTGGTGTTTTTGGCTCGAAAAGGGCAACTTGTCAAAATTGTAAAACTGAGCTTCGGATTGGATTTGATTTAGATGGATTTCAGATGGTGTGATGACATTATCATGACAGATATGATACAATAGAGTCGAGACGGAGCTGCTCTTTTTGATGCGAGGGAGGTGGGAGAGAGAAAAAGAAGCAAAAATGCAAAATTGTAAAAATCGACGCATTCATTGGAACAGAAGCATTGTCGATTGGGGCGCAACACCAACAAAACACAATACACAATACACACTACACAAAAAAACAATGTGCACATTACAAGCAACAAATCACACTCCCCTCTCGTCAAGGCTCCAACCAACGCGCTCGGAACTTCTAACAAAAAAAAAATGGCAAAATCCTTTTCAATCTTGCTGCGTTCTGGTGCTGGGCTTGTTAGAATGGGAAGAATCGGCGCTTTTGTCCAGAGACCTCGTCTTGCTTTTTCTGTCATAGGTGGATTGAGATCGGAGGTCACCAGAGTGAATGAAACGGCTGCCAACATCCCTCTCTCTCTTTCTCTCTCGTCGTTTCAAAGAGAAATTGGTCCACAGACACCATCACCACCAAAAAACAAGGTTTACACGTACCAACTCAAGCGACGTTAGTGCGTAGATGCCCACGGGGATGGCGACCATCAGGAGGAACGAGATGCCCGTTGTGCGAGGAGTGAAGCGGAAGTGCTGGACGGTCGTTTCGCGCATGGTGGCCCATCGCTCGACAATCGGGGATTTCTGTTGTGGTTGCAACATGCATCGATGTTCGAAGAAAGTGAGACACCAGAGAGTCGGGCGCAGACGGAGCAGAGAGAGACATTGTTGCTGCAGTGAGATCGAAGAAGGGACGCGATTGCCCACTGCTTGCACCCCTGCCGTCCGACCGGGTGCCTCGTTTTTCGTCAATCAAAGCCACTCTGCTCCTCTCTATTGACCATCCCCAGCCAGCCAGCCAGCCAGACAGCGGCGGACTGCAGGGAAAGCAAAGACAAAAGCTTTTTCTTTTTTTTTTTTTTTGCTTTTTTGCTCTGTTGCGCTGCGGCCGAACGAGCAGCCCGAGGCAGTCCTCGACCCAACGGAAAGGCAGAGCAGTCATCACCGAGTGCGCTGGTGTTGAATGGGGGCGCCGCTCGTTCCCAGAAGCCGTGAGACAGCGCTCCATCCCAAAACCGAACGCATGGATTTTCTGTTTCAATGCAAACTCCATTGAACTTCCTCAGGTTGGTTTACCTGCATGCCGTGATCGCCGCCCATGATTCGTACTGATTCAGCAAATAATAAAAAATTTATGAGACTGAGTCAAGTTCTTGGAACTCGGCATCAACTCAACGTCGGATTTCGA